CGAGCTGTTGGCCACTTGTGCCTGTTGTATAGCCACCATGGTTTGCAACATAGCGTGAAACATCTCCCACATCAAGGTGACTGTGGCCTGATCGAGTCCAACTGGAGGCATTGCTGGAGGTGGTGCAGCTGAGGGTGGGGTCGCTGGGCCTATCCAACTCACCGCTCCTTTGTGAGTCGGGCTCCTTACTACCCTGCGTCTCTTAATAGGGGGTCGTCCTCCATTACGTCTTATTCCACACCCTCGAAGTGGCATGATCTATCAACCAATACATTTGGTACCAAGTCTACAATCCTTAACATGAAGTAAATCATACATAGCATCACCATTGCCCATACGTGAAAACCATGAGCATCATTTAACATTATCATTTATTATCTTTCATATGACATAGGATATACCTGATGGTGACGGAGCTTCCATCGTAAGGCCATCGAAACATGAGCCAACATCGTGGACTAGTCTACATAATCTATAAGTCTATAACTTAATTACCAAGTGTAACGGCCTAACTTTTTAATTTAAAAACAAGGTCACAATCACATGCAATCACTTCATGTGGGACCTATATTTTCGCATTAACGGGATCGATCGTTCAAGACCTTTGGTCTCTATTCGGACTCGATGAAAAAATGGGATCACTTCTTATGGACTTGTTGAGAATGATTATGATCTAGTTCATGACCTATTAGATGTAGAATGCGTTCTGTTGGGATTGGAATCTACGGATAGAAAAAGATTACAATCGATTTGATAATGATCGAGTGACATTGCTTCTTCAAGTTTAGGAATCAAACTGATAATAATAGCCTTTTCCTAATCTTCTTTCGCCAACTGAATCTATGCAACATAGAGAGAGCCAGAACTAACTGCGCTATTATAGTTTATTTTACTATTTAAGTAAATATTTTATAGCTTTCATTTTTAAGTACATTTACATTACCACGCTTGTATTATGAACTCAACATCTTAGGGTGAGGGTTAGGGAAGTTTGTGTGACATTAAACCAAGACTCGTTCTTGACAATGTTTGATTTTGATTGGCCAACTAAACTCGAGCAATGTCTCACTTTTGAAAAAAAAAAAAAAAAAAAAAGGAGAGGTCGGTCATTGAAAATTATCGAGAGTTAGGAGCTGGTTAAGTGGAGAAATTAAGAACGATAATTCAACTCATGCATACAAAAAAACAAAGATTATGAATGATTTAAATATATATATTATATTCATGCGTTTAAATATAGACCCAACAACAAAAACTATACTTCATAAACGAACATGTCCATTGCTGTCAGATTTTGTTCTCTTCTAGAGGGAAGGTTCCACACCCTTATAAATGATGTTTCGTTCTCCTCCTCAACCTAAGTAGTACTGCATCTTCAGAATTGTAACCTTCCCATGGCATATAAGCTACTAATACGTTTTTTCCCAACGCAAGTTCTTAATACGTTTTTTCCCAACGCAAGTTCGTCACTAACTGTAGCAGCACCGTTCGCTAAAATTTGCCCATTTTTAATGCATTTACCCTGGTGAACTTGGGATTTTTGCTGCATACAAGTATTTTTGTTAGAACGTTGATACAAAACTAATGGAATTCTTCGAGTATACCCATTGCCCGAAAAAATGATCTTGTCAGTATCGGTATAAATGATCTTTCCCCCGTGTTCGGCTATAGCAGCAACCCCTGAATCTCGAGCCATGTGGCGTTCCAACCCAGTTCCAACAATGCACTTTTCGGACCGAGAAAGCGGGACTGCTTGACGTTGTATATTAGAACTCATTAAAGCACGATTCGCATCATTATGTTCGATAAAAGGAATGAGGGAAGCTCCAATAGAAAAATATTGGAAGGGAAAAATACTTCGAAGATGAATTTGTTCCCATTCAATAGTCAAGAATTCTTGACGGTATCGAGCTGGAACAATCTGTTCTTCCTGAATACCTGGATTCAGTGCCAAAGAATTTCCTGTCGCTACCATATAGTACTCATTCCGACTTGGTGATAAATAAAGCATCCGCACTTTTTTTTTTATCTCTCAAAAATTTCATAAAATGGAGTTTCTAGAGATCCCCAATGACCAATCCTTGCATGAATTGCTAATGATCCAATAAGTCCAACATTAATTCCTTCAGACGTGTCAATTGGGCAAATGTGTCCATAATGACTAGGATGGATATCTCGTATCCGAAAACTAGCAATTCGCCCATGAACTATTTGTGTCAATGGATTAGTTCGATCTAAAACTTGAGATAATGGGTGTAATCCGAAAAAAGATTCAAACGTGGTTGTTAATGGAGTTGAAGTTACCAAATTTTGAGGAGTCGGTATCAATTTATGTCTAATTGCTCCACATATAGTTCCTCTAACCATATTTTCTAAACGAACTAGAGCCAATCCGAATTGATCTTGTCAGAGATCGACGACAGAACGAATCCGTTTATTTTTCAACTGATTCATATTGTCAAGTGTACCCATTCCAAATTTCAGTCCAATCAAATGATCTGCAGCTGCCAATATATCTGGCGGTAACAAAAATATATTGTTCTCAGGTATATCAAGATTAAGCCTATGGTTCAGATTTCGTCGACCAATCATTCCTAATTCACATCTTTGTTGAAAGAATTTCTTTTGTAATTCCTTACATAAGGATTCAGAAAATACCGGATCTCCACCTACACAAGAAAATTGTTGATAAAACTCACAAATGACATTTTCTTTTGATCCAATTTTTTTGTTCTCTTTATTATTCGACAAAATAATTTCAAGTTAGCAAACATTCTCGAGAATTTCTCTTAGATTCGAACCCATAGCTAATGATAGAACTAGAATAGATATTTTCTGTTTCCTACTCACACGAGCCCATATCCTTGCTTTTCGATCAATCTCTAATTCTAATCTTCCTCCCCAATCAGATATTATGGTGCCGGTATAGACCAAAATTCCGTTATGGTCCAATTCTGACCGATAATAGATACCAGGGCTTTGCAATATTTGACTGATCACAACTCTGTATAGTCCATTTACTATAGAAGTTCCCCGGGAATTCATTAGAGGAATGTTTCCAATAAAAATTATTTGTTCTTGCATATCCCTACGGGTTTTCCAAATTAATCCTGCGGATACGTATAATTCAGAAGAATATGTGAGTGATTCATAGACAGCATCTCTTTCTTTTATCAATGGTTCTACCAATTTATATGTTTCCACAAATAATTGAAATTCAATTTCTTGATCTATATCTTCAATTTTTGGAAACTTAAAAAGTTCTTCGGTTAAGCCATGATCAATGAACCTACAAAACCCTTCAAATTGTATCTGATTAAACCCAGGTATTGTAGACATTCTCTCATTTCCACCCCCAAGCATTTTTTTTATTTCCCATTTATAAAAAAAATCCCATTACATTATTTGCTTATTCATCATCAAATGGATCGATTTAGCAATGATGGAATTTAGATTATGTTTACTGAATCACATGAAATTTTACCTAACTTGATAGGTGTAATAGATGTAATTACATCAAATACATATGAACATAGGAATAAAGAGCCTTTGATACTTAAATTGGAATTTGCAACCACTACAAATGAAATACAAAGGAATTGGTAAATTCTATTTAGACTTATGGAGTTTTGTATAGAATATCTCTATCAAAACAAAAGTGAGTCCATTTCTACCATTATTATGATATTCCAATCCGATTGGGTACTATAAATAGATTCGGGATTTGATCTGCAGAAACAATATACAAATTAAAAAATTCGCATAGAAGAGAGATATTTTACCTATACCTATATTTTTTTTAGTAGAATTCGTAGAATCCGATTGAAGTATGTATGAAGACTTGTAGTATTTATTAATATAATGAACATGTGCAGATATATATCTCCTCCTTTATTACAGTTCATTTCCTATAAACTATACTTCATAAACGAACATGTAGCGGCCCAAGTCCATTGCCAGCAAATATTGTTCTCTTCTAGAGGAAGGTTCTAGACCCTTATAAATGATGTTTCGTTCTCCTCATCAACCAAGGTGGGACTCTTACTGAGCATGTAAAACGTGTCTAGAGGAAGGTTCCACACCCTTATAAAGGTGGGACTCTTACCGAGCTTTCGAGCTTCCCCTCAAAACTTTCCACACCCTTAAAACATGTTTCGTTCTCCTCCACAACTAAGATTACCGAGCATGTAGGAACCAAAGTTCTAACTCGGAAGAGATGCTACACATGTGTGGTGTTAGTGGAGAGATCAAAGCCACTATCTAAGTCATCAAAGTTGAAACTGATAACATTAGTGGAATGGGCAGTCAAATCATTCGAGTGGTTGATAGAGAAGTTCCACCGCAAGAGATGAGGTCTCTACTCAAAGCTCTTTAGTGGGAGTAGCAATATCAAAGAGATTGAAAACCCTACACCTATAAGATATTAATAACGAGTATGATATCTCACGATCGACACAAAATGTTCGATAGTAATGAAATGCAATGATGATAGTAACCTAACAAAGAATATATCGAAACATGATCTCGTAAGAATATTGACTTGAGTATGAGATCATGATGATTCTACAAAAACTATGTTTAGGGTTATACTTCCTGGAAATATACCTTCGATCTCGTTTGTCGTCGTCTTCTTATCAAACGATGAAACATTGAAATCTTAAGACTAGCCTTCATAGTAAAGGATGATCTTCCCTTCATTCGTGTTAGCACCGTTCATTCCTAATACTTATAACTCCACAATTTAAACAAACATCTCAATTTGTTTGCTTCTCCGGAAAGATTAGCCATTACTTTCCAGCCAAATTTAGTTTAACAAAAATAAATAATGGAAAGGGTTGACTTGATCAAATGGAATAGAAAGCAAATTTCCCTATGTATACGGCCATTGTACTTATGATTTTGATCCAAAAAACCACAAAAAAAATTATAATAATATGTTTTCACACGTGGTAGGTCACAAGTTTTGTTATTTTATATGTAAAATCCATTAATTTTCTAACCATCCAAACACACCCTTATAACTACAAACGAACATACAAAAAAATCCTATTCTTCTTCACCTTCTCTCTCTTTTGTTGTTTGGTTTCTAGGAAAATAGCTAAGAAAATTGTTGAATTCTTGTGGGGAAGCTATGAACATGTTGTTGTTTGAGCAGCAGTTACAGCAGCCGCCACTGCCAGATGAGGTGGAGGTGACGATGGGCGGGAGGAGGACGGTGATCGGGACGAGGGGCGGGGCGGTCGTGGTGGAGAGAAATAGGAGGGTGGTGATGGAGGAGGAAGAGAGGCTTGAGATTGTGGATTTGAGTGGCATTTCATTGAGTTCTTTGCCAAATCCTAATCTCAATTTGGCTACCATTTGCAAGTTAGATCTCTCTAATAATAATCTTCAGGTGATCTCTATAAAAAAATTTCAACCTTTCTTGTTTTTAGCATTTTTTAAGGAAAAACATGACAACTTGAATATGTTTGTTTCATCGTATACACAATGTTTTTTTTCGAGATTATTTTAATGAACTATAATTATCAAATGACTTATATTTGTAGAAAATTTTGAATAAATAGGATGATTTTTTTTTTTTTTTTTTTTGCAGAGCATCCCGGAGTCTCTAACAGCAAGACTATTAAACGTTGTTGTATTAGACGTTCACTCAAACCAACTGAAATCTCTCCCTCACTCCATTGGTTGTTTGACTAAACTCAAGACTTTAAACGTCTCCGGCAATCTCATCACTATCCTTCCCAAAACTCTTGAAGATTGCAGGTTCGTTTTTTTCCAATCCTCATTTTTTTCCTTTGAGTTCAATAATACATAGGGTGAAAGCTCAAACATATGATTTTTTAGTCAAAGATTACAATATCTTTAATCATTTGAGCTATTCTCGAATTGACACCTTATCATTTTCTCTATTATTAAAGCTCGGGGATGAATTGAAAAAAGGGGTTGACCGAAACGAGCAAAATTATATCAAAATTAGGTCAAGTTGGTGTAAAATTATATCAAAAGCAAAGGAACAAACATAAAAGATAATGGCATACATCATGATTAGATTTTGACATTTGAAAATAATAATAATAAATAAATAAATTTAGTATATGGTGGGGAGCATATGCCATATGCTTCTCATCATTCCCCTATTGAATACATTATAAAATGTTCATAAATTATAATGGTCCAAATATAATTAAAATATTTTAATTTGTATGCAATTAATATTAACATAAAAGGCAACTTTTTTAAATAATTTTGTGCTAGGGTTTGCAAAAAGTAATAATTATTTTTTATGATCCATTTGTTAGATATTTTTATTAATTTTATAATATTCGTTGTCTCCTTATCCGATCCGATATATGAACGAACGATTGGTTTAAATATATATATATATTTTTTTTTTTTTTCAGATGTTTGGAAGAACTTAATGTGAATTTCAACAAGTTGATAAAACTTCCCGACACAATAGGGTTTGAACTATCCAACCTAAGGAAGCTCTCAGTGAATTCCAACAAGCTAGTTTATCTTCCTCATTCCATCTCTCACCTTAAAAACCTTCGTGTTCTCGATGCTCGCCTAAACTCCCTCACTGCCCTCCCCGATGACCTCGAGAATCTTATCAAGCTAGAAGTCTTGAATGTTAGCCAAAACTTCCACCATCTCCAAACTTTACCTTATTCTATTGGGCTTTTATTGTCTCTAGTTGAACTCGACATTAGCTACAATAGAATCACTTCTCTCCCTGACTCTATTGGTTGTCTCAAGAGACTTCACAAACTTTGTGTCGATGGAAACCCGTTGTCGTCCCCGCCCCCGTTCGTGTTTGAACAAGGAGTACACGCTGTTAGAGAGTATTTGAGTGAGAAGATGAATACACGAAACTTAAGCTTGCACAAAAAGAAGTCATGGGTGGGCAAGTTGGTTCGATATGGTACGTTCAATGGTGGCTATGGGTATTTTAGAACTAGTGAGCCACGTGAGGATCGAGAAGCTTTCATGTATTCTCAATATCGCTCCATCGATGGTCTCACTTCACCAAGGTACATAGGAACGTTCGCGCCACGACGCTTCTTTTGGACTCGAGGGTATTGGACTAGATGATGCCATTGTCAATGCCGTCATTCAAAAATACAACTTTTGGGAGTGAAACATTAATATCTCTATTTTATCGTATTTTGATAGTTTTAAGTTTGATGGAGTGTCAAGAGAATACAAGTTGTGTAACGAAGTATATGTTTTATATGTATAGCCCTCTTTACATAACGTAGTGCCATTTGAGAGTGAGATTAGTTAATAAAATGGAGTGTAAGAGTTCATACAAACTCATGCTTGATTAACATTTTCCAAATTACTTCAATTTTGGTTAGAAGATTTGAATGAGTTCTTATTAATATGTTCTTAATCCTGATTAAAAGATATGAATGATATGAATGAACGATCCATTCAACCGTTGAAGCATATGATTTCATAAATATTATGAGATTCTTTACTTTTGGAACATCTACGTGTTCTTTTAGATCCTGAATCTTGAATCTCCATAAGACCTTATTTAGATCCTCTCCATAAGACCTTATTGTTATTATTCGAACACAAAATTGGTGTCTAGATCAAACCTTATTTCATGGTATTTACATGAGATTCCTCCTTCTTACTCTTAAGCAAGTCTTCGAGAGGGCTTGGCTTAGTTGATCCATGATTTATGTTTCGTCTGTCGTTTCCTTTTTGTTTGTTTCCAGAAATATATCGATCAATTTTGATTCTTTCTTTTTCTATTGATTCTTTTCCGATCAAGATGTATGGATCCATGGGCCTATGTGTCTATATAGATCCTGTTCATGGATTAACAAAAATGTGCAAAAGCTCTATTTGCCTCTGCCATTCTATGAGTCTCTTCCTTCGGCATCCAGTAATTCGAAACTTAATTTGAAAGCCAACCTTTTACCTGTGTGGATCCTATTTCAATGGAAACTTGATGAGTTGATCCGCATACATGTCTTGCCTTGTATGTTTTTAGGAAGTGAAGTGTGTTTTTAGCTCAATTTAATGTCTCTATTTATAGTCTTGCTTAAGATCTTAGGAGTTATTAATTCCAAATTTTTGCTCTTTCTTTTTCTAACCTCCATTGATATTTTGGCACCCTTTGATTCTTAACCATAGAATACGACCCTAATCGAAACACATATATTTGTCTCATATACTATGGAGATGGTGAGATGGGCTATAATTGGAGATACCATTGTTTCTAGTATATAAGTTTCTATAAAAATGGGAAATGTCCTACCTTTAAGTGCTGTTTGAACTATTGATTTACGTAATTGGAACTAACTAATTAGGTTTACCTCAAATTTTATCGGTATCTACTCATTTTTAAGAGTTAGATTAGAAACGACATTTCTTATCTCAATGACACCACAGGGATATTAAATGAATGGAATTGGATATGAATAGAATAGAATAAAATAGAGCCACTTTCAGGTTCTCTATGAATGGAGCCACTACGAAAAAGTTTCGGGAGTTACGAAGGAAACCTCGAGCTCATATTGGTCATGGGTTGAGAACGGAAATTGAATTCTCTGAAACCTAATTTACTGTTGTTCCTCAATAGCTCAGTGGTAGAGCGGTCAACTATTAATCAATTGGTCGGAAGATACTAAAAAAGTCGTGAATATTTTTGGAATGGATTCTTATAAATTCCAAAAATATTAAAAGAAATATAAAGATATATAAAGATATATTAGGGTTACCGGTACCATTGTATTCCTAAATTAAATTAAGCTGATTTGATGGCTATTTGTAGCTGCTGTTTTAGCCAACTCACTAAGGTCAGTCATGTCAGCTTTCCCACATCGGAAATTAGCAAAAAAGAATAACGTTATTTAAAGAAAACGATGATGGCAACAGGGCACGACCTTACTTGAACAGGATCTGTTCTATAGGTTGTACAACTGTGTCCTTGAGTTCTAAGGAGACAAGAACCTTAGTCTGGTGGATGAGTAGCTGCCTTGCGACTAGAGCGTGAATAACGGTTAATGAACCTGTTCTTGGTCCTGTGTGGCTGTAGATGATCGTTCTCGGGTAGGCTCGCCCTGCCTGGGATGGTCGCATGGCGGTCTGACAGACTCAAAAGAATTTTTTTTTTTTTTTTTTTGCGTTCTGAATATGTGTTGTGATGGAAGAAACCCTTTATTTTGTGGGTGAAATCTCAGATTTAGCGTTTAGAATCTGTAGTGTGATGGAACCCTTTATTTTGTTTGTGAAATCTGAGAGCTTTGTTGGTTTGGTTTGGAAGTGGATTGGATGATTAGAATTTGGTTGTTTTTGTGCTGTGTTCTTGAGGTTTTGGGATGGATTTACGTTTGAATTACTATGTTGAATCATTTTTAGCGATGGAGATAGGATGCAGAGTTATGGGAAACATGGATAATATCCACTCTACTTCATGCTCTTTACCTGTTTGTTAAAATGCCTCACACAGACCTGCATCTTCATCTTCGTCTTCAACCCAATGGAGCCTGTCAGGGATGGATGCATTTTCTTTTAACTTTTGGATACAAGATGGGCTTAGTAGATTCACAATTGCACTCGGAACCGCGAGTGTGCAACACTTGTTTTAACCTAGAGAACAAGTCAGTCGTGTAAAATCGAACTTTGCGGACAATTTGGATGTATGGTCGAGCATCTAGTCACATTCTTGACAGAAAATGTTTTATAAAATGTGAGCGAGATAATGAACTTGAACGTTTGTAAATTTCATTTCAATTAAGAATAAACATCAATGAAATAGCATCACTAGTTTATATATCACCGGTTTGATTCGATTTAGAATGCTAAAGGGTCCAATAAGTTGTTGGCTCGGTTTTTCCTTTCGTCCAACCCTCAAAACACCTTTCATCGAGAACAACTCAAGAATACCTTGTCGCCTGCATCAAACTCCAGTTTCTATACCTCACGTCGGTCTGTCTACTCCAAGTTGTATGCATTCTTGCCTTGATCTTTTGCACAGTTTCATTGGTGACTTTGACTAACTCTGGTCCCAATACTTCATAGTTCACATTTGCCTACTTCACACCACGACCTGCATTGTTTCAATATGAAGTTTCAAACCATGTCACATTTCTAATATTTGCAGGAAATCTCTAACGGTTTACGAGACCAAAGCATTGCTACCGATAAAAATTGATATCACATAGTCTCACCTATTCCTCATAGGGTTGAAGTAACATGTGTAAGCTCGTGACTAGAACAGCCCACCACTACTAAATGCTATTATGACCTTTTGTTATCTTAGGTAAACCTAGAACCTTTACATAATCATGATGAAGACATGTGACGATTTTTTTGTAATCGACCAATATTTGTGTTGGGATACATATAATTTATAATTAATCTCTAATATAATTTTATCGTTAATTATGAATGATGACAAAGCTACCTGTGATTTGCTTAAATTTCTCACTCAACAAACATTATAATTTCGAGCACAATGATGATTTAACATAGTTGAGAGATTACTGATGCTTCAACTTTAATCTTCTACTGTCGTTTATGGCTACTATCATATCCTTTTGAGAACTTGTAATGAAAAAGAAGAAACTTTTAAAAAGTGGAAGTTTAATTTATTTTGGTTGAAGGGGCTCAAAGAGTTAAATGTGAGATGAACGGGATTCAATCAAGTTAGCCTAACATCCTTCAATCATGATCCGAACATTCTTAACACAATGGTATATAGGAATCCTAATCCGAACATAGAATTAGAGGCAAAAATACCATTTCTGTAATCAAATGTTAAACGCCCATCCAACTAAAGCAAAGCTTCATCCATTTCACAGGAGATCGAGCTCGGTTCCAACGAACTGAACCAATCGACCAGCCAATCATAGCTGAACCCAACCAAAGCTGGTCGATTGGGTTCGGCCTAATTCTTTCTCTGTGGATCGATTGCGTTCAGTCATTCAAACCAATCAATTCAGCTGGATCATCCAAGAACCAGTTCACACCCCCAACAAATTGCAATGGGCAAGCCACCCATTGCACAGAGATCAAGCTCGGTTCTAACAAACTGGACCAATGAACCAACCTATCATAGCTGAACCAAACCAGAGCTGGTCGATTTGGTTCGGCCTAATTCTTGCTCTGTTGATCGATTTGGTTCAGTCAGTCAAACCAATCGATTCAGCTGGATCATCTAAGAACTGAATCGAACCAGTTCGCAATGGACAATTCTACCATTGCACAGAACATGTGTATCTATATAGTAGTATATGACGGTAAAACCAGGGGCAAAATTATACACAAACAAATGAAAAAATGCAGATTCAATCACCAATCTACAATATGCAATTCCAGTCATTCGTCCAGATGAATACTGCTTCTAACATCAAAACAAAAATGCATTTGCCTAATGATCATCTCAATAATTACAAACTGAGAAGGAAAAACAGCAACCGTTATAAAAGGAAGAACAAAAACAGCAACCGTTACGTTCCCTCCCGGCCGAAATTCTACCCTAAATGATCTCACTCATTCATGCTGCAAAACCCTTACTCCCTTAGATGTAAAAAAAAAAGTATCAGCTAAGCTAGAATTTTCGAAGGGGCATCATCAATTTCAAGTTCTCAGCTCAATGCATCAGAATCTTCATTCCTTTTCAATGGTTGAGTTCATGGAAGTCAGTCAATATGACAACAAAGCCCAAACAAAACGAGCTAATTAAGAAACTAATTAAATGATAAAATAAAAACAGTAAGCTTTGGACCTCTGCAACTTCATACCCTATGACAAAAAGTATCTAAGTACTCTTCGATTTCGGTTTCTTCGAACGTTTGACAGGCAGGCTTCTTACACCTTTCTTAGCCCTCATTGCAACAGCTCTCCTTTTTGTTCTTTTAGTTGTGGCAGGGAATTCCAAGATAGGACCTGGAGGTATTCCTTTCTTAAGGGCACTTCCCCTCGGAGTAACGGTGGGGGGCAGTCTCAAACTTTCCGGTGGCAACGGATTATGGGGTTTCCACACCAAGTTATTTTTCATGGAAAATCTTACCTTCTTTACACTATTCTCTCCACTTTTTGCAGCTGTATTTCCTTCAGTGTCAACTTGGTTAGGAAGTACTACATCATGTGTCTGCTGCACATCCGCCTTCTTCGCTCTCTTTCTTTTCTTGACTGAGCCATTGGCTGATATTACAGGGCTCATAACATTGTCTCCAAACTCAGCTTCAGCAGCAACCCTCTCGAATTGCATCTGAAGGTTCGATATCACAGATTCATCAAACGTTATCATATTTCCATCACTAATCTGTTCATTATTAGAATTCTCACCGTTAGCAACAACTATATTCT